ATTATTATAATGATAATAGCATTTATATAGCGCATAACCACGCTCGACAACAAGCTTTCTATGCGCTTTACACTATACATGTACTATTTTTATTATTACTCCAGCCGACCATGAACACTTAAGAAATTCTCAGATTCCGGGGAGTTGGAAAGGGCGCTTCCCTTCCAAGCGGACTCCAAGTCCCATCCCTACCCCCTACATGCTTAATCCAGCACTATATAACCCGGTTTATGAATCTTATGCTCTGAGTGTTTTCTTCTCAAAGACAGTGGCGTCGGTGGCCTAGTGGTCAGGCTACTGGGCACTTAATCGTGAGATTGTGGGTTCAGGGGTTCGAGCCTCATCTCGGTCAGACATTGCGTCCTTGGGAAAGGGACTTTACAAAAATTTCCCGCTTGGTTCGATCCTTTCGGAGATGGACGTTTAACTCGGAGGTCCCGCCTCTTAAATTATAACCTAACAGTATTGATAGTGGCGTTAAACCTATACCATTTCATTATTTTCACCAGTCAAAGACCACAAGGAAAAATTGTGCTGCCTTAGAATTGCATAGTTCTTTGTTAAATATTTGGCCGTTTTGGTGCTCTTGTAAGACCATGAGGTCACAGATGTTCCGTCTGCTCTGTCAAAACCCTAAGAGTATTCGGAGTCGTTGTTACGATATACAAAGAATTGCCTCGGAAAAGAGCTTGGCATGTTGTGAAACTCAAATGTTTTAACGTCAAATTTTTTCAAAACTAGGTACTGAGCAGAGAGACATTCGTAATTCTAGGATAGCGAATAGATGGTTGGCGGGTGCTCTAATGCAGTATGCTGCATCTATCGTTCTTATCTCTCCTACTTTTATTTACATGTTACTTTCTATTGAAACCTCTAATCGTCGGCTCTCGTATGACCTACTTATGTTACAAGTGCGTAAGACTCTTACTAAAACTAAATTATCTGAAGATGTCCAAACCATAGTATCCTTTTCTTCAACTCCACTATGTGCATCTTAATGATAGCATAAAGTAGAACACATAACACATATCTAAGAATTCTACTTTAAAAAAAATAAATGTTAAAGCGGGAAGTTTTAATATTTCAATTTTGGAAAGTATGAAAATAAATAATAGTATATATTATTTTTAAAATGTTTTTCGTCAGTAATTTCTACTGTTACTGCGCATTTAGAAAACCTAACGATGTTTTTTCTCTGCGCGATTAATAGCCTAATTCCACTTCAAAATCTTTCTTACTCTGTTATCATCGTTGTTCGTTGGACCATAAATAAACCTGTCAGAATAATAAATGAACAACGTGTCGTTGTGATGAGATAGAAAAAGGTACACGTCCTGTTTTTGCCCCCAAGCGCTGTTAACGAGGCAGAAATTGATGCTTCTCTTTTAAACGGATTCTCTTTTAAACGGACTGAAAGAAAGAGGTTCAAAAAAGAGGCAACTGAGTAAATGAATGAATAATCAAAACCATGAGGTAGATCCGTCGAGAGAGAATAAATTGCCGAAAGAGATGAAAGAGGGCGCGCGATGGGTAATCAGGGGAAATAACTCCGCCGCACTATTCTATCATTCCTGTCTGGGAACTTGTGGATAACAATGATTTAATGAGGGAGAAAGGGATTTGAGAGGGGTGGGGATGGCGGGGAGAAAGGGGTTGGG